CTCGCTCCAAGACCTTGGTCAGTGACTCATCTGGAACATCACCACGACTGCCCTGGAGACCGGTCGGTAACGTCATGCCATACACGATTTCCGCGCCCATATAGGTTATTGGAAGGGACTCGTGGGCATATCCACTGAGAGTGGAGCCGGCAAGACGGGTGATCGAAGATCCGACACCATTTGTACGACTTCCCAACATCAGGTCCTTGGACTCGTTACGAAGGAATTGCCAACCGCGTGACTTGAGGAAGGCCTCTTCGGAGTCATCGATCTTAGCCGCTTCGCAGAGCATGAACAAATGCGTCTTCGACTGTGCAATCGATTTTATCAAGGCTCCTTTATATGGTGTAGCATCGTCCCAGTCAATGTGATTAGCAACGGAGCTAGGAGCGGAACGCTTTCTTCCCCTGCTCATGTTGCCGAGATTGAGGATGAGCGCGGCATACTTGGTCTTGCTGGTGAAGATAGGGACATTGGAGTCCTCTGCCAGACCAAAACGATGAATATAAGGATTCGGCGTCTTCTCAAGAGAGAGGTTCCCGATCTCCTCTTCATCGACTCCGGTGCTCAAGAAGTAGTGAAGCATAGCATTCAAAAGTTCTTCTCGAGTTGCCGGATTGCCGCTTGCATCCAGGGACTTCAGCTTATCAAGAAGTGCTTCCATAACATCCAGTGCTGATTCTCGGATGTCAGAGGCCTTGCCCATGAGCTTGCCGTCCAAGGTGCTACGAACGTCCCCAGAACGAAAAACAACGTCCTTTTTGTCGGGACGACGCTCATAGATGGGATCCATCTTGTTGAGTTGGTCGAATAGATTCACCATAGAGAGAGAGTATTTCTGTCCCTTGTGGTTCGGAACATTTACCCTCCAACTCATATGCTGCACCTTGTAGGCGAGAACGGGCTAGTAATCAGGATCACGAAGTCCTGTATGATACAAGCCTGAATAGCCATATCCATGCAGCTGCTTGCAGAGCATCCGCATAGGGCTTTGTCGTTCGATTTCGGTGAGCTGCGTAAGGAAATGTTTGAACTCTTCGAGATCGACGAGCTCGATCTTTTCCTTTGCTTTGCCCATCTTGTCGAACGCGTTCTCATTCTGGTCCCCTGCATCCTTCGCGGCCTGGTAGTACTCAGGATCCGGAACGGTCTTGCATTTCCCCCAGATGCCTTGATCGTGAAGTTCACTTTCATCATCCTTCTCGGGAGAAATGTCTGGCAGATTCCTCACCCTGTGGTGAGCCTTCCTCAGCCATTTCGACGTTCTCGGACTTACCTCCTTCCTGACCCATGTGCGCATCAGGTTCGACCTTCACCTCGGATGCCTCTCCCTGTGGAGAGCTTTCCGTGGCTTCGGTCTTCTGTTGTGGAACATCCTCCCCATGTGGAGAGCTTTCCGGAGCGTCCGTATCCATTGGCTCGACAGTAGCCCCAGATGCCTCTCCCTGTGGAGAGCTTTCTGGAGCTTCAGTCTCCATTGGCACATCGGTCGGCTCGGTCTTAACCGGATCAACCTTCTTGCCCTGTGGCAAGTCCGTGGATCCAGACGACGGTTCGGAGGGATCCATCTGAGTAGCCGCGGGAGGCTCTTCGATCTCCTCGATCTGTGGACATGGGAGTCGCTCGATGAACTCCTCAATCATAATGTCGTCATATGGTCGGGTGAGGAGCTCATTCAGCTCAGACTCCTTCTTCGCCTTCAAGTCCTCGTACGCCACTAAATCAGCTTTTGCCTTGCGGGCGAAAGCCGACTTGAAATCGCGCTGGTCAGACTCAGCGAAGACTTTCTCCAGAACCGCCAGGAGGTAGCTGCCGTTGAACGGCTGCTTCAGGGTACTGTCATAGAGACAATAGCCCTCAGGGGTTCGCACCGTGTATTTACGGCGAACATCCAGATCACCGGCGTGGCGCTGGATGTAGGAGAAGAAGTCCACTCCATAAGCCTCATTGATGACGCGGACGAGCATCTGGAAATCCTCTCGCACATAGCCAACCTCTTCATACACATACCTTTCCCTGAGGAAAGCCTTGTGTGCGGCGAGCTTGCGGGAGTAGTCGGGATCCTCTGTCCTTGGCATCTTTGCACGAGAGTCATTGTCCCGAGGGCGATCGAATCCAATGTTACCCAAATTGGGCCTGAATTCGTTCGACGCGGCAACGGAGACATCGTTCAGCATCTGGGCAAGACCGCCAGGATGACGCTTAAAGTTCATCCAAGGTGACGTGTAACCGTTGGAGTAAACATTCGGTTTCTTGTCCAGCTCCACGAGGTAGTTCCCCTGCAACTTCCCCATCTCGAAGGCCTTGAGGAAGAAGTGCAGGGAGTACCCCGAAAGAGGATGCTGCAACCACGATGCCAAATCGTATTCACCACCCAAAGACTCTCTCATAGAAGTAGTCAAAGTGTGCCAGGGGGTGACCTGAACGAGGGCATCGCCATAGGTGCTAAGCATCGGCTGGCCAGAGGAGTCCACCATGTGCAACTTGCCGTGCGCGAAGAGATGCCATGGATTCGTCCTGGCCTTGCGGAGCACCTCGTTGAGCTCCTCCTGCTGCTGGGACTTATGCGCATCAATCTTGCCGTGGACGGTGTCCCCAGACTGATACGCATACTTGGTGTCTCCTTCGGAGGCTGTGGCTTGCCGCTCCCGCTCTGCCTTAAGCTCATTGTCACGAATAAGCTTCTGGAGAGCTGCCGCGTACAATGTGGGTACCTTCTCCTGAGAGAAGCTTCCCGGTGACGCTTGGCCTGCATCCTGAGATGTCTTTGGCCGCTTCTTGGGAGCTGGCTTCGAAGGCATTGGATCCGAGCTGCTAACCGGTACCCCTCCCTGTGGAGGGCCTCCGGAAGCAGATGCGGAAGCAGACGCT